CATCACTGAGAAACCCCTGGCTGTATTTATCAGGGAGACCTCGCCCATGGCCCCTCACTCTGTTCCAGCATTGCCAACCAGGATCTTTTTCCCTAGCTGATGTGCGCCTTGATCCAGACACTGCTTATTCCCGCCTCATCGTGTCTGAAGACAGAAAGTGTGTGCGCTATGGAGACACCAACCAGAAACTGCCCGACAATCCTGAGAGATTCTACCGCTATAACATCGTCCTGGGCAGCCAGTGCATCTCCTCAGGCCGGCACTACTGGGAGGTGGAGGTGGGAGACAGGTCTGAATGGGGCCTGGGAGTGTGTAAGGAAGATGTCGACCGGAAGGAGGTGGTCTATTTATCCCCCAACTATGGCTTCTGGGTGATAAGGCTGAGGAAGGGCAATGAGTACCGGGCAGGCAGGGATGAATACCCCCTCCTGCCCTTGCCAGTCCCTCCCCGGCGGGTGGGTGCCTTCCTGGATTATGAGGCCCAGGACATCTTCTACAACGCGACCGACAATGGCTCCCATATTTTCACTTTCCCCCACCACCCCTTTTCTGGGCGCCTCCTGCCCTACTTTAGTCCTTGCTACAGTATTAGTGCCAACAACACCGCCCCTCTGGCCATCTGCTCCCTGGACGGAGAGGACTGAGACCCACCATCCAGCCAGAGGCCTCGGAATTTCACCTGGGCCCCAGGGGTCTTATAGGGCCCCGCCCCTGACAAGGGTTCCCTGAAACTGAGTTGCGCCTAGAATTTGGGATTCCTCTGCCTGGCCCTGCGGTCTGCTGCTCCTCAGCCCGCATCTCTCTCTAAACCACTCATGTGAAGGAGTTGAGGCTTAGGCTTAGTCACATGAGCATTGTCCCTGTGAGGGAGGCGTGACAGGGCTGACGGTGACTCTCACAAGGAGGACTTGTCCTTTCTGTAGCTCAGGCCCCTCTTTTTCAGCCCCTGTCGGCGCCATAACTAAGTTACAAAGTAGATCCAAACTTCTGGAAACCTGTTGGCAAAGAATCCTGCTCACATCCAGAGTTGGCTGTTCTGCTGAGGCCAGGCGGGGGAGGCCTCACCTAGGTTTGCTGCCGATGAGCAAATGTTTGAGCCCTGCTCTCTGACCTGCAAACTAGAGGCATTCATTGCAGATTATCCAGACCACTCCCGTGGCCATCCCTTAGCACGAACTGGGCACACCACTGTCTCAGACACAGGGAGACCTGTGTCCTGGCCCTGCCCCTCTTTGAGTGACAGAATCAGAAAACTTGTGAGCCCTGTTTTTATTTTCACTTTATGAATGAGAAAACTGAGATGGCCTTAATAGAGCAAGTTATTTCTCGCAGAGCTGTTGAAAGAAGATTGTAGAGATTATAACGTATTTCTCACGTTCGAATGAAACAAGATCAGCAAGACTTGCTTCTCAGGTCACGTATCTGCATGTCATTCATTACATTTGGGCCTGAAACTTCCCACCCGATTGAAAGATTTTTCAGCCTCTAGAAAAATGGGTGGAGTGGCTGTATACTCTCCTACCTCACAGGGTTGTTGTGAGGATCTCAGATCCATCCCATACTTGTGTTCCTTTCTCAGGGACAGAGGAAGGCAAGTTGAGAATATTGCCCATGTTACCTTCCTATCACATTCTCGGCCAGCATCTGACAGCAGGGCCTCTGTCTCAGGGCCTCTCCTCACAGTCCAGAGCCCTTTAGACAGAACGTGGCCCTACCAGGGCAAAATCTGGGCTACTGTAATATACTGTGTATCTGTTGTACGTTTGTCTTGTTTGGATTAGAATTGGGACTGTGACCGCAGGATAGAGACTAGATCATTTAAAATGAAAAACAAAATGCCCAGGAAAAAGACTCACTTGCCCACAAGCTAGTTGAGCTAAAGTTTAGATCATATATAAACAAAAAATTGATTCTTTTAAAGCCATAAAAGAAAAGCAACCCAATAAAAAAATGGGCTAAATATTTTATCTGAATTCTACTAAGGAGGAAAGAAATATAGCCAATAAAATATACAAAAAAGACATAAGACACTGGGGGGTAGGAGAGGCTAGGGGATTATCAAGAGGGGGGAATAGGAGACATATGTAATATTCTTTGTAATACTTTAAGCAATAAAAAAAAATAAAAATAAAAATAAATAAAAAGTAAAAGTGAAAAGTGGTGGCAGAGTAAATGGATGCTGCGTGGACACGCTGCCATAAACAAACTGGAATTACAACTAAAATACAGAAAAACTTCTTGAATAATCAACAGAAGACTCGCTGGACAGACTCCAAGGACCGAAAGTAGAGACCGCATAGAGATTGATAGGAGGGGCAGAGGCATGAAACAGCTGGCCAGGAGGCCACAGGCAGCAACTGAATCCTGGAGAGAGATCTCAGCCATGGGGGGTGCCACTGAGAACTCTGGGATCTAATCTCCAAGCTAGGTCCCCCAGCAGAGAGCACCAAAACTGAAGAGGGTACCCACATAACATCTGACTGTGAAAAGCAGCGGGGTGCTGTCTGCCAGGGAGTGGTAGCTGAAAATTCAGGCATCCTCTTAAAGTGCCAATGCACAAAATTCCCTGTGGAGCCATCCACCTTGTGCTCTGGCAGAGGGAGGGTAAAGTAGACTGGAGATGTGAAAGCAGAACCCAGGACTAGAGACTCAGAGGATAGAGCTCAGATGGCAGACACCCCAAGTTTCCTGGGCTGAGTCATTCCCTCACACAGTGGAGGACATCTTTCCCACATAGACATCTGCCTTTCCTAGGGCTAGACAGTTGACACACCCTATTGGAAAACACTTTGCCTTGAGGACACTTAACCCATTGTACACCATAAGCATCTGTTAGTGGCAAGCGACGGACCTTCCCCACATGCCAAGCGTGTCTATAAAAAAAAAATGTTTTCCCTAATTGGCAGCCCTGACCAACTTTAAAATCATTTTTCGCAATAATTTTCAGCTCTAAATATTCAAGAACACCCGAATTGTGAGTAATATATTTATTGTTTATAATATTCGTTGCAAATTTATTTTTTAAATTAAATTCAAAATACCATGGCCTGTGGGGATGGTTTCTGTTTTAGACATGTGGCAGTTAACTGGTTAAGAAACTAACAATAACTATTAGCCTCCAGGCAGAAGCAACTGCCCCACCCTGTAGAAAAACACTCTCACCACACCTAAGGACAATTGCCTGGGGTGCAATTCAAGACAGAATCCTATCAGTATGTAGGCATAGGCAGTCTCTGGAAGCTTTGCATCTTTGCCTGATCTAATTAGTCAGAAACAGCCTTTAACACTGTCCTGCACTAGAGATTGAGAAGCATGGAGAATCTACCTAATACATAGTGACAAACTCAGATAGCCAAAATGAGGAGACAAAGAACCCCAAAATGAAAGAACTAGAAAATTCTCCAGAAGAAGAGATAAATGAAGCAGAGATAAGAATTTTATCTGAAACAGAGTTCAGAGTAATGATGGTAAAAATGCTCAACAGCATGAAAAAAGATAATAACTATAAAAAAAGAACCGTCTGAGATAAAGAATGACAGCAGAAATAAAGAACACATTTATTTATTAAGAAGGAGTACACAGCAGGTTAGGGGAAGTTGAGGATCGAATCAGTGAGTTAGAAGACAGTTGAAATAACACTCAATCAGAGAACCAACTAGAAAAAATTAAAAAACAGGAAGACAGCTTAAGGAAGCTGTGGGACAATGTGCAACAGAAAAATATTAAAATAGCAAATGTGCCAGAAGAGTCAGAAAGGGAGAAAGAACTAGAGAACATGTTTGAAGAAATAATGGCAGAAAACTACCATAATGTGGTAAAGGAAAAAGTCACGTAAGTTCAAGATGCACAGAGAACCCCAAGCAAGAAGAACCCAAACAGGCCCATGCCCACACATCATAATTAAAATACCAAAAGTTAAAGACAAAGAGAGAATCTTAAAGGCAGCAAGAGAAAAGAAAACTATTATCTACAAAAGAACTCCCATAAGGCTGACACCTGATTTCTCATCAGAAACTCTACAGGCCAGAAGGAAATGGAATAAAGTACTCAAAGTAATGAAAAACAAGGATCTGAGACCAAGATTACTATATCCAGCAAGGTTATCATTCAAAATAGACAGTCAAATAAAGAGCTTCCCAGACAAAAAAAAAGGGGGGAGGGGAGCAGGCTAAAGGAGTACATCCCTACCAAGCCTGCATTACAAGAAATACTAAAGGGACTGCTGTAATAAGAAGAAACAGAGAGAGAAACTTAGCCATACAGAATTAAAATGGCAATAAATAACTACCTATCAATAATAACCCTAAATGTAAATGTATTAAATGCTCCAATCAAAAGGCATAGGGTAGCTGAATGGATACAGAAACATTCACCCAACTATATGCTGTATACAAGAGACCAACCTCAAAACAAAGGACACACACAAGATGAGAGTGAAGGGATGGAAAAAATTTTTCTATGCAAATAGAAAAGTAAAAAAAGTGGAGTAGCAATGCTCATATCTGACAAAATAGACTTCAAAATGAATGCCATCACAGGAGACAACAAAGGTCACTACATAATACTAAAGTATCAATCCAACAAGAGGATACAGCCGTAGTATACATATGTGCACCCAATATTAAAGCACCTAAATATATTAGAAAACTTCTAGAGGACTTTAAGGGAGAGATCAACAATAATACAGTCATAGTAGGGGACTTTAACCCTCCACTGACTTCACTGGATAGATCTTCCAGACAAAAACCTAACAAGGAAACAGTGACTCTACAGGCCACACT